ATATATATATATATATGTATATACATATGTATATGTATGTATATATACATATATGTATATACATATATATATGTATATATATGTACATATATATAAGTGGATATATACATGTATATACATATGTATATACACATATATATATGTGTGCATGCATATATGTATATATATATGCATGTGTATACGCATGTAATATATATATACATATGTATATCAACTCATGTATATGAGCTGATTTGTCACAGTAGTTTTTATGCGTTTTTGCCGAGCAGCGCTAGAGCGCTGCAACAGGCAGCAAAACCGCATATAGCAACGACCCTGTCTGTGTGTATATGTGTGTTCATCTGTCCAGGTATTTCAACCCGGCAACCAAACAAACTCCGGCGCCAAAATTTTGCCAGTTTGTTCCCCGACCAAGTGCCACCCCAGGATCGCGGCATTAAGCCTCACATACGTCTGGGCCCCGCATATGACCGTGTTCTGGTGGGAAAACTGCTAACTCAAAATCGTTAAAAGCTAGAAAACTGAAACTTTAGGGTAATGTTTCCTACTCATTTACGACCAAAATCAGCTGTTTAGAAGCACCCGACACCTACGTGTGGGCACGTTAAAGTTTTGGCGGGGAAATTGCTAATTCGGGAGTGAGAAAAGTTAGAAAGCTGCAACTTCAGGGTAATGTTCTCAACCCATGTATGACTAAAAGATTTAAAATTCAGCTGCCTAGAACTGCTCGGGACTTACATACGGGCACGTGAAAATTTTAGCGGGAAAATTGATAACTCGAGAATAAGAAAAACAAGAAAGTTGAAATTTTGAGAAAATGTTCCCTATTCACGTACGACCAAAAGTTCTTAAACTCAGCTCTTTAGAATCGCCCGGAACTCACGTACGGACGAGGAAGTTGCTAACTCGGGAACGAGAAAGGTCAGAAAGCTGAGATTTTAGGGTAATGTTCCTTACTCATGTACGACAAAAATCAGTTGTTTAGAAGCGCCCAGGATCCAAGTACTTGCACGTGAAAGTTTTGGCGGCAGAATTGCTAACTAGGAAACGAGAAGAGCCGGAACGCTGGAATTTTAAGGAGATGTTCCCTTCTCATGTGTGAGTAAAAGATTTCAAATTTAACTCTTCCAGCGGGGACTTTCCCGCGCACGGGCAATCCCGTTTGTCGGATCGCTGAAGCGGACATCTATAACTGACACATCACATAGCTGCACAATTAAATTCCCGAAATTCGAGGGCCAGTGCGTCACAGTATTGGCTACTGTAATTCCTTGAGATCATGCTACAGCAAGTGCAAAAACGCATAATCACAGCGGCCGGCCTGGTGCTTTCCAGGCTGGGTTCAGAAACGTGTTGATCTGATACATGATTGTCGAATTTAAGCTGAAAAAAAGACTGATTAGTGCGTATTGCGTGAGGTGTGACCCAAGCTGGATATCCCTCTTTTTCCTTCACTGTCTTACTGACGTACTGGTCTAGCTTATCCAGTAACGTGTCTTATAGTTACTCTGCTGAGCATTTGAAATCATTTCCGCAATATCAGAGTCACAGCAACAATCACTGTGAAGCATGATTGGCCATTACGTCTCTTACATTTACTTTGTACTGTTACCCTCCTTTCACAGTATGATAGAAAATAAGTAAGTAATCCAGTAAGTTTCAGATTCCTTTATGGCTCCTTTGGTATCCTACAGGCGTTCATTTGAAGACCTATTTGTTGTCTGAGTGAAATTTCCAGGTAAAAAGAAAAGGGAGGAGAAGATATTAGAATTAGAGATTTCATCAGGCTTCAAGGGCTTTATGTTGGTACTGTTTATATTGGGCAGGTTAACCTGGTCGCTGTTACAAGAGTGGCATTATTTATGCGCACTCTTGTATTTGCAACGGATCTCGTTCCCATCATTATTGATTAGTGGATTTTCTTGAGTTCTTACTTTGTATTTCATTAATTGGGTTTTCTATTTATGTGTATGAATAAGTAACGTCCACTCTATGCATGAGTTCGGATTCTTTGAAAAACCGATTCTTACGATCTGATTCGTTTTGATAGTTAATTGGTAGTAGTTTACCCAGCATACCGGGAAATGAATAGCCTCAGGCTACTTATCAAGGAGTATGGCGGCTGTTGATTGCTGTTGCGAAAGCGCCGTCACTTGTATTTTTCTCAGGTACCTTCAAGCGCCGATTTTGATTTTATTTTACGTATCATTTAATGCATCGTAATGTATTACTTGCATTTCAGAAATAAGCGAAAGTTGGTTGGAAACGGTGGTGCCAAAAGTAAAGGGGGAAAAACTGATGGTAGTCTTGGGTCCACATCGTGGAACTACGGCAGTACTAGAAGCACGAGATAGGAAAAACAACAAGGTTTTTGTTAGGCTGATAGCTACAGATGAAGTTTTGAGTGCTTCTTTTGATGATGTTTGCGAATATCTTGGATCTGACGATGATTAGCTGATGCGTATCTGTGCACTGTTCCATATTTTTAAGTGTAGCTCCAAACAGTCCAGTGATCGAAAGCAACCTAGGGACATCCCTATTCAGTTATTTTTTGTGCATTAAACAATATTTTTCCCATACTCCACCTCCCGCATCCTGAATGCAGAGTCTTAATCCTTATTTCGGTTATTTAATCTGAAACGGGGAATGAGCTAGGGGATTTTAGCCCCTGTAAGCTTTCATGCATAGCAAAGACCGCACTGAATTTGCAGCAACACATTTCATTTTGATACAGTTCCTATTTGTTGTATAAATGCAGCTATTTTAGAAGCGAGCTGCATTTGAAATACAGGGTGATTTATCACCAACTTTTTTACGATCCCCTTCCATTTTAAGTTCGCTCATTAATCATATTTCGTTGGCTTATTTTTTTACCAAAAAATCGTTAAAGATGGGCGGGGCGGGACGGAGTGGGGAGTGAACATTTCTGGTGATTGGAGGCACATTTGTTGTTCTCATCTTTGGGGCTGGCGGAACAACGGTTTGGGGACGCCCGCCGTCTCATCTATATGGAGGGACTATTCCTTCTTTCGGGATCAGCGTCTCCCATCTGCTTCAGATCTACTCATCAACCACCTCTGCTCGTCACGCATCTCTACTCGTCATATACCTCTTCTCGTCACACACATCTACTAGAAACACTTGAAGAGAAGGACCTCTTCATCGTGCAGTGCTTCGTTTGGCCTTAGTTCTTCTGTTTCGCCTCCGTTTGCCGTACTCAGTGGGACTTGGCAGTCGACTAGGAATCCTAGCTGTCGACAGATGCGCGGCAGACGCGGTGGGCTGCTTATCACATAATGATTTTTATCAAAATTTCTTGAAGAGTCATTGCATCATTATGATGCAATACCCTTGGCCCCTTGCTTAATCTTTAGACACCCTGCGCCCTTTAGAGTTATGCTGTCTCTTTGATCCGTGGTTACCCGAGTATAAAAACACTCTCCTCCATCTGCAGCACCTGGTGTTTTTTCTCTCAGACAACCCTGTCCTGGGGAACTTCGGCTCCCCAGAGTCTCGCTGTCTTTTTTTTTCGCCTTGTTTCAATTTTCTTTGTATAACGACATTTTGTTGTATATAATTATAAACATATGTATCTATAACTTGGCTATACATACACGCTCATTCACACACACGTGTGGGGCACGTACACTAGTTCAATCCGCAACATTTTAGATCGCAATATGGTGTTGGGAGCTGAGCTTTGGCTGGATCCGCTCGTGCACGACTTTTATGGCATTCTTGACCACCCCAGGAACAGGATTGTTTTCTGAGCGTCAGATATCGACTCCGCTCGGTTCTTGGCAAGTAGGAGTTTGTGAGCGACTGCAACTAACCCCTCTTAAATCGACGAACTTTGTCAATAAAAAAGTGAAAGCAGGTAGGTCAAAGGCTGACATCAGTAAATTGCCCAGCTGCATCAACTATTGACTCGCAAAATCTGTTTTGTTTTTGGAGGGATTAGGAAAACAGAAGGGTCGGAAGCAGGTTGGGGGCAGTAGGAGGAGTAAAGAATATGTTGTAATGCATCCGGGGCTTGCTTATCCTTCAGCTTACTTTGCAGCGGTTCTCCCACGTTACTTGATAATGATTTGTCTGCGCAATTCCTCTACAACAAAATTGCTTAGCTTTGTATTGACGGTGTTGAAATATTACTGTCTCAGCATTTAACGACGGCAGATTATGTTCTAGGCAAGCTTTTGCTTCCACCATAGCATGCATCTACTTCACACTGGCACCAAATTACAACTCTGTTCTTATGGGATCTTGCATTTTTGGGAATATTTGATTGCGAGTAGGGCATTCGGACTGATGTAAATATCTTTTTTTTGAATATAATATTCGAATATCCTCTTATTCTTCCCCATCCGTACAGTAATCCACCTCTACACTCCCTGAAGAGGCGAGCCTCCAGGTCGTGTGCTGTAATGTTGGTCTCTACTTGTTTGTCCCCACCCCCGCTGGTGTAACATTTTCAACCACATCTCAAAGCAAGGCGATTGGACCGCGCAAACATCTAGGAGGGTGTAAGGTAAAGGAGGCTCCCTCCTTGCGGGTCTTTAGGGCATCTTGCCCATTCCAACTTATTACTCGATTTCGGAGCGGCTTTTTTTTCGTCTGGTCTTTGTTTTGGAGCGGCTGCGTTTGGCCCGCTCATTGTTTTATAGCTAGGAGTCCTTGGACACGAAAACATCAGATCACACCCTACCCTGTGTACCTGGCAGCGGGTCGCATTTACACGTTCTAGATAGGCTAATTACCTGTAAAGGATGTTGCTCATTACCTGTACAGGACGCTGCTTGTTACTTGTGTAGACTGTCGCGCTGTATCGCCTCCGCTCCGCCCTTCAGCTGTCGTTAGGACCAACTCTGGTCCGCTCCACAAGAAATCTAAAATCCTAGTATCGCCCCTTCACCCGTCCAAGTAGTCCCCATTGATCCGGGTAAAAAAACAGATATGATGCAAGTAAACAACACTGAGTGTTGTTTGCTCGAGAGGGTCCAAGTACTGCACGACTGTAAATGCAGTACTTGGAAAACTGAGGGAAATTACTTGGAATTTGAGTGGTGGGGACTCGGCGCTCAAGTAAACAGCCCTAACCTGTCCAATTAATTTCCCCTCTTTGTACGTGTAACCTGTGCTAGGAGGGGAGGGGGTGGAGCTCAGGTGCGGGAGGAGCTGTTGCACTCCGTCCCTCCCCTCGATCACCCTTTGGGTTGCATAACGACCGATCCCTGTAGCACAACGACCGACGGCTGGGATGGACAGATCGATTGGTTGGGGGTCGCAGGAAGGGTGGGGAGGGGGGGGGCGAGGGTTTAGGGGACGGAGGGGTGGGGGAGGGAGGAAGGAAGGATGGCGGGGGGAGGAATTTAACTGAATCTAGTTAAACTAGTTGCTCTCTAGGACAGACCAACTGAATCAGGAGTTTATTTCTTTTTCAAGACATACTGTGTCGAAGTGAATGGGGAGGTTCCGTCACGCGCGTATGAGGGCTCGTAAACGGTCACTGACTTTCAAAGTCCTACATACTGTGTTGTTTAGATGACGTGATGCTACTCACGGCACTGCACTTTGTGCTAAGGGGTGGATCTTTACGTGCAATCGGTGCCTTAAACATTCCGGTTAACTTACCGGTGCTTAATTATGCTTTTAATTTTACTCTTGAATATTTTCCTTGTTGTGGAACAAATTTACAAGTGAATATTACAAGGAGAAAGATGACCAAAGTAAATTAGACTGTTGAAGATGAGAGAGAAATTTTTGGACATTGGAACTTGCTTTTTCTTCTTCCAGAATGGCGAGGCTGACCCCATTATCCTACTCGAAGATTAGGCTGACCCTGATTTTCTGATTTTGATATGACCACTTTCTATCAGGCTGGGAGTTGGATTGGCAGATATTTTACCTTGACCTACAATAATCTGCTGTGCTCGCTATTTGTTCCCGTAATTTTTTTCCACAACTGGCAATTTTTCGAGTGAAAATGCTTTTGTTGATGTCAAAATACTTTTATCGCAGTTGAAAATTTTTTGAATTAAGCAACAACTTGTGTTTGTACATAACAACCGCGTTACAGACTATTACTGTAAGTATGTGTGCTCAGAGATATTTGGAAAAAAAAATTATTTTAGTGGTAAATTGAGTTGCAACAGTGATTTGGGGGAAGTGGAAACAAGGGTACAGCTGGGAGGGAGCAAGGGTACAGCTAGGAGGAGGGGGAGAGGAATTATTAATACACACATTACAAGTAACATGCACTCATCTTTACGTGTAGGGAGTGCTCGTTACTTGGACAAAATCCGCACAGTTACATGAATCCATCCCAAGCAGACCAGCGGCGAGGGCGCGGCGACCATTCCAAGTAACGGGCTCTTCGCAGCTGAGACTGTGTACGGCTCGGCACCGTAGACATCTGAGCACCGATTACTTGGATTTTCGATTTCTTGTGTCCGTTGGCTGCACCCTTTGGCGACTACTAAAGCTCGGCTGGGCTAGTCCTCGGCCGCCTCGGCTCCACCTCGGTCGGTCCTGGCAGCGGCACGAATTGGGAGTCTGTTTTCTGGAT